TATATATATATATATATATATATATATATATATATATATACACACACATATATACATAGTCTTTTTAAAGCCTGAACCGGTGGTGTTATTATTTGTGACCATTTCCCCCAGAAAGATTGAGGTGTGCCTGTGAGAGTGGGTACATAATGGCGGTGTTCTGCGTGGGGGGAGGACGAGTGCACTTTTTTTGCCCCAGCCGAGATGCGATAAAGCGAAGAGGTGTTCCGATCGCGAGGCTGGACGGGTTCCGATTAGAAATTTCACAAACAAAAATGTGAATATCCTTCAAATGAGTGGGAAGCTATACGCCATTATTTAAAACAGTCGAGTAGATGTATCCTCCTTGGTTTTTTCATTTTGCTTAGAATGTACCTTTACATTTGATCCATGGGATGAACTCCGTTGTAAAATGAATAATTTTATGTGTATGAGGGGTTTAATAAGTCCAGGCTCTTATGTTTGAACGGTGGGGAATTCTCTCCCCATGTTGAGCCTTTTCTGAGCGCTAGGGTGGACACTGCTGACCCTATGCTCCCATAGCTTCTCCTGTACCCTCTTTACTGGAGTTAGTGGCCACAGTGAAGCCCTGCCTATGCCGTTGATGGAAGGGGGGGGTGGCTGCTTTTGCCAAATCCGGCTCAAGTCTATTTCAAACTTTTTAATATTTGAAATTCATTCAGACTGGACTCGTTTCTTTTTCAGCACCAGTTCTGCTCTTATCGATCATCCGAAACCGACGAACCTCCACGGGTATTTCGATGACCGCTTTTTAAATCGTCCACATTTTACAGCCATGTTTTCTCCTTTCCTGCATGTGTGTGCTCTTTTTGTTTGTACTTTTTCCCCCTCCTGCGAGGAAGACCTGTTTAACCCTCTTTTGTATTTAAAACTTGCTGCTAATTGTCGTTTCTTTTGAGGTCAAATTCTCTTCAGAGAAAATTGGCTGTGTTGCACACCGAGACCCAAACTGCTCGCCTGCCTTTCGTCGGTCCACATTTTTAAAAAGGTCGGATTCGCGTTTGATGAAATAAACCAAACTTTTGTGAATCCTACAAAACCTGTTCATCTGCTTCTTTTATTTTTTTTTTTTTAAAGTTTCAAGTGTTTGTGTGTGTGCGAAAGAGGAGGCCGCGGCCTTTGTAAGACTGTCAGCGACCGTGCCAGACACGCCTATGTCCTTTCTCAGAGAAAATATGCAAAACCGGCAGCCGGTGAAACCACCTCTTAGTGATGCCGTCTGCACAGAAATCACGCCTAGTGGCTGACAGAATTGTGTTCCAACAAGTTGATACAGTTTGGCCGGTTTGAAGATGAGGAACAGCGGCTGAAGCAGAAGAGCTGCTCACACAGCCGGAGCTGCTCCAGCGTTCTCTGAATGGCTCTGAAGCTGCCAGCAGGACAGGACCAGAGGGACCTGGACGCTTCCTTGTTGGATCCTAGCGTTTACAAACCCAATGCATCCGCTAAAGAAGAGTCGGTGGACCAAAACCTGTGGACAAGGTAAGTACAAGGACATCAATCTGAGAATAGAACGTGGAATTGAGGTCCTAAATATGACCGTATATGCCTGTGCTCATTCCTGAGTAAAGGAAATTAAATCATAGACAATAAATTCCTGCTGGGGCTGTCAGGAATGCGGGTTTGGGAGTAAAGACGGTGGAACTGGTCTGAAGGGGACAGGTGCACTCATTGGACTTGACCCAGAAACTTTCCACAGCGGTCTCACCTGAACATGTCGGCTTTCTATTTAAAGCGCCGTCGGTCTGGTTTTTCACAGAAAACACCAACCTCCAGGACAGCTGCGATGGAAGCGGGCTTTTATTTCTCTCTCTCAGTTTTTTGATCGCCTCTGTGTGGCCTTTCTTGCTTCGCTAATCTCCGAAAGAAAAAGAACCCCCCCCCCCCAAAAGGCGCTGTGAGGTTTCAGATGAAGATCGATGTGATCCTGGAACTAGGCTGCTGGACGGCTTACTTCCGAGAGCCGGGAAATAATTAACTCCCTATTTGTTACTGTCCAAAAACTATCCGGGAAATACGGAAAACTCCCAACGGTTCTTAGTTGCTGTGTAAAACTAGACAGCTGCACGGTTTATTCGTGTCGTAAATCTCCTCTGAACCAAATGAGAAAGGGAAAAGAAGCAGTTCTTGCCATTCGTGAGCATTGGTCTCGAAGTTTCCCCCTCAGGGGAATTCTCTCTCTCCAAAAATATGATGTCGTTTTTTAAAAAAGGTTGTAACGCGAGAAAGTTGTCAGGCTTCACCGGTGATGCCAGCGACATAAACACGAAGTGCTCCTCTTATCTTTTCTTGTGATCGTGTGTTTGGGTGTGTGCTCATACCTGATCCAGACTACTGACTAGACACAGTGTGTTATCCTCTGAATATGACGTAGTTCGACGGTGACTTTTCAGCTGTGCCACAAATAATCACCATCATTAATACGATCATTAGATTTTTTTTTTCAACTCATTAAAAAACTTAAGAGCAGGTTTTAAAGTCCTACACTCTGTCTTTTAGCCAAATCCGGAATAAAGCGTTCTAATGGTTTCTGATATAGTCATCTGAGCCCACTGGATGATTACCTGGAGGTGAACTGAGCTACTCAGCATACTTTTGTAAACAAAAGCCAGATATCTCAACATCTGGCAGACCAACAGAATTTGGGTTACATTGGGGAGTTCCTAAATGACTTTGCTGATACTCTTATTCCAAATCAAAATGATCTTATATGGATTCAGCACAATTAGTTTATCTCACTTTGTTTAGAATTGACTTTCCTGATATTGCACCTGATCCACATTAGCATTTGCTCTCCTCTGCATCTTTAACACCGTTGACAGACTGGACTGGAACAAGGACGTCCCTTTGTTTTGTTATTTTGCAGCCAGATGCAAATGGTTGCTGATAAGACACTTTTCACAGGAGCAAAGCCCGGAAATGGATCGGGGCGCTGTTTGTGGGCACCTGCCTGCTCTACTGTGCCCGGATGACTTTGCCGGTGTGTGCGGTCTCGATGGCAGCCACCTTTCACTGGAGCAAAATCGACTCCGGAATCGTCCTGGGCGTCTTCTTCTGGGGATACTGTTTCACTCAGATCCTGGGGGGGCATCTCAGTGACAGGTAAGCAGCACACACAGCTTCACTTCACCAATGAGCCGGCTGCCCTCAGGACTTCTGCGTTGTGAAGTCAGGCTCCCAGTTTCAGGATATCCCTCCATATTTCTTGTTTCTTAGAATGGGTGGAGAGCGTGTGCTATTTATCTCTGCAGCCTCGTGGGCTGTGATCACTGCTGGTACCCCTTTACTGGCATACCTCGGCTCTCACACCCTCGCCCAAGTGACCATAGCCAGAGTCATGCTGGGCCTAATTCAGGGTGAGTATTAAAACAATTATGTAGATAGAATATACCCTCACACAGGAATTCGGTCATTTTTATGGAAGTAAGCCTATTGACTTTCATAGCAATAGTAAAAGGAGAAGATCCAAACCATTGTTGTCTGTGTGCAATGACCACAAAGCTGCAGGTAGGTGTAAAAAAAATAAATAAAACACAAGCCAAAGAGGAACCACAGCCAGAGTGTCGGTTTTTTATGCATAAGGGAAATATGAAGTGGTGTAATTCATGAAACTCAAGGGAATCCATGGAGTGTTGTAATGTCTTCCAGGTTTTTTTTTCCCATCCTTGGCGAGCCTGTGCTCCCAGCGGGTGGTGGAGGGGGAGAGGGGGTTCCTAATGAGCACCATGCACAGCGGCAGTCATCTCGGGTAGGCTCTGCACACATTGTGCACAGACATGGATCATATGTGCAAAAATGCAAACATTCACCTCTGACGGCACTCTGTTCTTCTTTTATTCTTTGTTCAGAACGTTGTTAGCAGGTGGGATGGGATCGCTCATGTTAGACCGGTACGGATGGGAGAGCCTGTTCTACAGTGTGGGTTTCCTGTCGGGACTGTGGGCACTTCTGGTTTGGCTCTGGTTACTGAGAGGTACAGCAGTCAGCCACTTCTCCCTAAACATCAGCAACATGATCTTTTTTTAAAAAAGCGTGTTGTCTGTAACGTTGCATTTCGCTGTTTGCCTTTGTTTCATACCTGCTGTTCCATGTGTGGCTCAGGTGATGTGACCCCGAAGAAGATGGAAACGGAGAACGACTCGCAATCAAGTTTGTCGGCCAAACACTGGCTGAGTCTTTTTAAAAAGCCCTCCGTTTGGTAGTGTTTTCAGTCATCCATTATGCACGATGTCATCGCTGTGTGAACCGGTTAGTCTGACCCCCAGTCTGTGTGTTTCGTCCCTCCTTCCAGGGCCATGGTGTTCGCTCACATGTGCATGTGCAGCACGTCCTACACTCTTTTGTCGTGGCTCCCGACATATTTTAAAGAATCGTTCCCTCACGCACCGGTACTTGCAACACACCCTGCTCCTTACCCAATAAACATGAGGCAATGTGCTCTAAACACACCTGTAAACCACTAACATCTTTAAGGGTCTCAACTCTAAGCCTTCAATGTCACCGTGTGTTTCTATCTTCTCATGCAGGCATGGGTGTATAATGTAATTCCGTGGCTAACTGCAATTCCATCAGCGCTCGGTGGAGGATATTTGTCAGATTTCCTTATTACCAAAGGTATTTATAGGCGTTATCTTTTGTTGTTTTCTCATAAGGGAAATGACGTACTTACAACTTGTCTTTCCTTTTAGGTTACAGTGTTGCAACCGTGAGAAAGATCATGCAGGTAAGAACTGGCAGGCAGCTCTTATGTGTGTATTTCTAACTGATCAAAGTCTCGCTGGAATTCCTGCTGTGTACTTCCAACACGTCGATGCAAGTTCAGAAGCTCGACGATTTAGTTGTTGTTTGACCCCATTTCCAAGATAATCGGGACGCCACAAACATGTGTTTGAAAGTAGTTTGCTCTGATTGCAAATCATTTGAGTCCTTCGAGAACTTTTAGAAGAAGAAAAAAAAGAAACTACTAAGAGACAATATATCCAATGTTGAAGGATTTTTTTTCCTAATTTATTTATGCCTCAGGCACAGCCCCGCTTCATTATTCGGGAAAGATCTATTTGACAGTTAAAGTAAGGTTTTGTACATGCACAGACTTCAGAAACGAGTAAACACACAGGATGAAAAACAAAAGCTTGATCTCTAATGTTATCTGAATAAAGGCGCGATACATTGGCAGGGTTTTTTATGAGTGCGATTTTGTGGCTAAATTCCTGTCATCTCCCTCCTCAGTTTTGTGCCATGGGCATATCCAGTATATTTATCTTACCACTATCTGGAGACGTCCCATTCACCTATGCTGTGATCTGCATTTCTGTGGCTGTTGGTGTCATGACTTTTACCAGCGGGTAAGTCGCCTCATGAGTTTCTATTCCCAAACTCAGATATACAGCATGAACACCACTGGATTTCAGGACCCTGTTATATCTCTGTTATAATTGTTAAAGATCCTTTCATTTTAGTTAGCGACTATACTTTAGTTTTCTTGCAAATTTTTTGGAGTGAACCTGGCTCATTTGTTTATTTATTTTTACTCAGTTTATCTTACACAGTGATTAAAGAAAGCTTATGCTATGCCCCTTTTTTGTCCAAATTTTCAAGGATCACAGATACTGTCATAAAAGAGAGAGCAGCTTTGATGCATCTTAATATAAGATGGTCCGAAACCTCTTAGAGAAATTAAGCCGGGTTGGGATGTGGATACTGAGGCCGTAGTTTCTGATTAACATCATTCCATTGGCTCTTTGTGCCCTGTGGATGGGAACATTGCCACCTGACCGTTTTCCACAAACAAGGAAAAGATTTTTCATTGTGAAAATGGGTGACCTCTTCCAACAAAATATGATCCTTTTCTATTGTAGAGGAGAATTATTCCAAAACCAAACCAGCAAAATAATCCAACCAACTATAACATCTTACTGCTCGTGTCAATGAAAAGATGAGGGGTGGATGAAAACCCTTTGACAAAACTGCATCGTTTCTAAATGTGTTTGTCCCTAATGTTGGCTGGATGTTTTACTCCTCAGATGGCTTTTGATAGCATTAAGAGATACAAAGAGAGTATTTTCATCTAAAGACTTCAGACTTTCATGCTGTAAACGATTAGCTTAAATGGACCTTTCTGAAATTTTTGCAATTTCTCTGTGCTGTATTTCAGTGGCGTGTCTGTGAACGTGCAAGATCTGGTTCCGTCGCGTGCGGGCGCTCTCTACGGTGAGTTATTTCAACCTCATCAAACAAAACAAAAGAATACTCTCCTTAAGGGCATCTCGTCACATTTCCTCCTTTCTCTGCAACAGGTTTTATGAACATGATGGGAGCTTTTATGGGTACGTACCAAACACAGAGAATCCAGAGGTGCAAACAGTTCAATTCTGTTTCAATTTATGTATTTTGATTGTCTCCACAAGCATAAGATAAAGATGCCTTAAAGATAAAATTTAAATCACCCAAATTAATTCTAATCCAAAAAAGGTCAATAGATTATAATGCAATTATATTGTCCCTAAGTAAAAAAGTCGATTTGCAAAAAGAAACCATGGATCCAGGTGAAGCTTCCCTTTGTTTAATCTGTTTGGGGAGGTTAACATGGAATGTAAATAATGTTGTTTTGTGCCACACAGGACTGGTGCTGGTGTCCCTGTCGGGTTACATAATTGAGGTCACCCTGTCATGGGCCACAGTCTTCTCCATCATCACCTTGGTGAATGCCACAGGTCTCGGGATCTTCCTCATATTCGGAGATGCCCAACGTGTGGACCTGCTGGATTTTTGCCAGGATGTTGGGATCTGACCGGACTTAAATTTACATGTTGATGAGCCCTTTTTCGTGATCTTTTTAATGCCCAAGAAAAATGTCAACACGCACACAAAGGAGGGTTCATCGTGGATCACTAGTGATTTGTTCTTTGTTTTTTATTGTTTTTGTTTTTTTTTTTATTTGTGACTCTTTAACAGTAAAAATCCCATTTTGACTGATTGCACAAATATAAGTAAATACTGTTGAACTGAAGTGAAGCAATTGTTTAATATATTATATATTTAATATACACAGTGTAATAAATCACACATTTGACTAAATGAGAACAAGACGCTATGGCTGTCATTCTCTCCTGTCGAAAGTTGAAGTTACACAAGCAATGTTTACATTTTATTCTGTATCCACAATAAATGTGAACTCAGGGAACTTTGCAGACACTGGCTGGAAAATTATTCCGATGCTCTTTTCTTCACTTCAGTCTTTCTGTTTTGGCTTGATACATGAATGTTTGTCTGTTTTGTTTGTTGTTCTTTTGCTACATTATGTGCACACGGCTATTCTTCATCTTCCTCTACCTCATTCTATTGTCTTGAGTTTGTCTATTAATTATTATGGCCAGCATACACATATCTTCTGGTCCCGTATTTTGCAAAGCTGTTGACAATACATGGACTAAAGGAGCAGAATTCAGCCACAGGAGATAAATGCCTCCTCTCATTTCTCCCTTTTGTGACTTCTAAACCCTATAATGCCATATGTATACTTTTTTATACACACTTTTTTATACAAAAACCTAATATTTTATGTATTGCAGTCTATTTTGAAGTGGGATTAGATGAGTCTTCAATCTGAGGTCCCACAGAGTTTCAGTCTAAAAACTACAGCCAAAAAAAATTAAATCAGACAGAGACCATTCATTGGATTGAGTAGCTTGATTTTGGCCTTTTTATTTTAAACTGAGCAACTTGTGATTTGGTTGGTTAACAAAAAAAAAACATTCATTTAATTTAATTGACAAAAGAAAAAAAAAAGATGGAATGTCACCCATTCCACCCTCCCCCGACCCCTTCATGTGACGAGTGATGTCACTACTTTGGAACCCGTGACATCACAGTGACGTTGTGACATCGTACCAGGGGTTATATATAGACCCCAGAACACATTCTTTTTCAGATTCTAGGAACTTTCCGAAGAATCTCATCGTATCACCACAGAGCCTTTTTTGAGCCTTTTTGCAACGCCTTTTCTACACTTCAGGTTATCTGACCATAGCTGACCACAGCACAATGAGTCAGACTGAAGTATCTACTGGACTCCTCTGGAGCGACATGGTAGATGACTACTTGGAGGAAGTTGTCGGACTCTGCTTCCATCCGTACGTGGATCTCAAAGAGGACGCGTCCGAGGAGCAGACCAGCACACCTCCGAAAGAACAAGACCTGGTCAAGACAAACCAGAGCACGGGGCCTCCGTCATCAAAGGACTCCCGGTTCAGGAGAAATCTTGCCCAGGCCCGGATGCTTCGACACAAAGAGTTCCCTCAAAAGAACGACTTTGTGCAGAGCATCCGGACCAACTGTGGACCTCCACAAACTCAAGACATCCGGTTCGTGACCAATGTTCCTCTGGCAAACGAGTTCCAACACCTCAAGGCATTGAAGAATCCGCCGTTACGTCAACCCAGATCTCAATGCATGCCGATGGAACCGAAGAACCGTCGAGTCGATCACGTGAGGGCCAAGCCTCAGAGAAATCCTGATTTTTTGCAGCAGCAAAGGAATCAGGTTATGAGGACTCAAGGCAAAAAGGTCAAACAAACATCAAAAGACCTTGCGAAGGCAAAGCTGCGCTCTGCTGTCCCCGTACGGGACTTAAGGCTTATGGGAAATGCTTCCCAGATCCCAGCGGGACATCAAGTGACACGATGGATTCATCGCCCAAAAACTGGGAAAGTTGTAGAACTGAACATCCAAAACAAGGAGCTCAATCAACAACCGAGCAACCTTGAGAAGACACAGTGGTGTTCGGCTCTACCCGTACAGGACGTACGGCTCATGGGTGAGGCCCCCCAGACCCCTGCAGGACCAATCAAACGGTGGATCTACAGCACCAAAACTGGGAAAGTGCTGGAACTGAGCATCCAAAACCAAGAGGTCGATCAAAAACCACACGACCTCGACAAATCAAAATGGTGCTCAGCTCTACCCGTGCAGGACGTACGTCTTCTGGGTAAGGCCCCCCAGACCCACAGACGGTGAAATCACACCGCACCAACATCCCAACCAACCCCACAGGAGCTAAAGCGATTTTAGTCTCCAAAAGCAGCACTAACTCACGTTAGTCTGCTTTTTTTATTTATTTCTTGATTTATTTCTTGATTGTTTTTATTGATTTCTTGATAATTTTGTCATTTTATTTGTATATATATTATTTGTATATATACATTTTGTATATAGCAAGTTTCTTTTTCCATTTATTTCCAGTTTAGTTTATTCCAATGTAAACTGTTAAACTGGTTATTCAAACCCCAGCTGGTCGAGGCAGACGGCCACCCTACCTGAGTCTGGTTCTGCCAGAGGTTTCTTCCCGTTAAAGGGGAGTTTTTTCTCTCCACAGCAGGAGGGGGATTGCACCGAACACAAGAGTTGGTGCGATCTGCTGGTTTCTTTAGCTAGGAACTTTTTCCATCTGGGCATTCATGAACTGAATTATAGTTGGCTTGGACAGTATTCATGAAGAGCCCAGATATGATATTGTATATATGCCTTTAAAAAATCCAAACAAGAACAAAAACAAAAAACTTCCCCCCCGCTGAATCGCCACCTTACCGTGGTGGGGGGGTTTGCGTGTCCCAGTGAACCTGAGTGCTGTGCTGTCGTGGGCGGTCAGTCCCTGTTAGGGGCCGCCATGGCAAAAGCGTCTCAGGAGAGGGATCAGACTAAGAGCGATTCATAAAAAACATCAAATGTGTTTATCATTCTGATCATTTGACTTTATTGCACCATGATTCTATCAGAATCTATCAGAATCTGTAATTAACTTGAACTGGACTGTTGTGTGAGATGTCAGTACTCTTGATTTTGGGCTTTATGCATGAAGCTGAACTGAAATAAGGTCACATGAGTCCCTCTCTTCAAATTGTGGCCAACATGGCTGATCCACAGTTAAGTACTCTGAGATATTTTGGAAAGAGGCGAATGCACACTGTTTTTAGCAGCTGGGCATCATATTAAGGCAGATATGTAAGTTGCTCCGAGTACACGCTCTCATGTGCGTGTTTTACTATCCTCAGTGTGTTCACAGAAAAAGTGAACTTGTTCAATTTCAGCACTCTGGTCAGCGCAGCCCGGCCTGGCCCAGCCTGGCCTGGCCCGGCCCGGCCCAGGGACGGAAACGGCGTGGAAAGCGGAGGGGGCGATGACGTCATGACGTTTCCTCACGTCAGCTGTGAGGACCGGGACGTGAGAGACACAGATTGTGATGGGGGCTTTTTTTCCCCCTCATTATTTATTTATTTATCAATTAATTATTTTTAATGTGAGATAGCTCGTCTAAAACAAACAAACAAACAAACGAACAAAACAAAGCAAGAAGAAGGAAAAAAAGACAGAAAGAAGAACATCTATTTGGAATTCAAACCTGAAGTGTTTTATTCGTTTTATTCGTCAGCATCACCAACAGCCCACCGGTGGACCTCCACATCCGTCCTCTCTACCGAATCCAGCCCAGCCTTTCGGGCTGGATAACGGAAAGCGTAAAACCGAGGCATCAGCAGCAAACGTCGATGGCGTCCTGAGTGGTATTCCCGTGACGCGCTCTGATGTGTTACACGCCTCTATTTTTCTTTTTAAATAAATTGGATCATCGGTAATTTTCTGATTTTTTTAAATCTACTTCTTCCCATCGCGGTTAGGAGACACCAACTTTCACTGACACCAGGGACAGGATTGCCGCTCCTCGTGTTCACGGCGGACCTTGATTTATTAACCACACAATTAAGGCACGCGGTGAATGCCAAGAGAGGGATCACGCGCTCCATCCTGCACCGATCACAGAGAAGGAGACGCTCCGCTGAGATGTGCGGAGTTTTTGTGCCACACACTGATACAGGACCTGGGAAGAATGCAGTTTCCCTCCCTTCATATGTTAGTGGACAAATGCCCAACAGTGAGCAGCCAGCTGCAGTGGTTTCTGTGACCTGTGATCCAATACAATACATAAGGAAGAAAAGATAAAAAGGCAAACCGTCTCCCCAGAGATGTGTCAGAAAGGAATGCGCGATGGTTTCCTTCTCATTTGAAGACCTGAAAAACCTGTATCCGAACAGGAAATTATATTACGCCATACATGACACAATTTTTTTTTTTTAAAGAACTTAACAAAGAGTAAATATTTCATTTCATTGGATGTTGCATGGTCATCATGTCTCCTTTATTATTTATGTTTTATATGTATTCATACTGACAAATGTACAATGTACATGTCCTACTAAAAACTTTTAAGGTGGTCTTTCTCAACAGTCTAGATATGATTAGGTATTGCTTTGATTTTCAGTCCAAATCTTCTTACAGATGTTACTAAATGATTATGCATCTTCTTTGGAATGCCACCTAACGCTGACCTGGGAAACAGAAGGCACCTAATTCCATGTGGAACACCCTTGTTGGATGCATAAAGTACACAAAACCGAGCATAGAACGAGTTTTGGTATTTTGTTTCTGGAAGAGCCCCCCCCCCCCACTACTTATTAAGTTGCATTTGCAAAATGAAGCCACTGACACTCCATTCTGGTTGTAAAACAATATTCTTGCACGAATGACGAGCTGTTGATTAAAGGGTTTGTATATCTCAACATGTAAACAATATGTTTTGATAAATTCCTGAAGAGAGATTGTCTAGGAGGGATTGGTCTGTGTCAACAAATATAGATATACAAAAAATACCCCAAAAGCTTTGAAGAAAGTACTTTTCTATCTGGTCAAACAAAGTGACACAAACAACAGATAAGTATATCTTTAATAATGGACATGATCAAATCTAAGAATGTGATAGTGACCTCTGATACAATAGATATTTAATCCATGGGTGACTTAAAACATTTTTTTTGCATAAATTTTCTATATTCCAATACCATTACATAACTCTGCCTGTCGCCAAAAGCCTCCTCACCTTTTCTGTCACACTTGCACATGCATACACACCCACACACACACACACACACACACACGCACGCACACACACAAAATACAGCAAGCAATTTAAAAAGAAAGTCACAAACATGTACCTTTTAGACTAGTCTCTGGGTTTTCATACACTTGACAACAAATCAGTTAAGTATAATGCTACAGTTGCACATTTTGAGGCGATCTCTGTTAGAAATGTCGGTACGTTAAAGCTTACACTTTCTGAGGATGAAGTGGACTCACTAGAAGCTATGAAAAGTGTGACAATCCCAATATTAGAATGATGTTAAGAAAAAAGGCTAGACGAAAAAATAACAAAAGAAAAAAAAAAAGAATTGAAAGTAGCAGGCCTGGCTTAAGTTTTAAAATAAGTACATGCTACGTTTTTTCCAGAGACCTCCCGCTGATCTGAGGGGATGGCTGTGAGAACAGGGGCAAATAAAGCCGTTTTTTGCGTTTAAACCTAAATTCATACAGTATTATTGGATTTTCCCAACCATTAAATTAGAAAGGAGCCACCGTTAGGAGCATCTGATAAAGACACCTCCAATTTGTAGAAGAAATCTCTTCACGATGAACTTAGAAACTTGTATCGGGTGAATACTTCTGCTTCCCCGCTGCCACGGCCTCGTACATTTAATGTTTATGCTTTCAGAATTCTTCGATTCTCCAAAGTGAGGCCTCCCCTAACATGGGAAAAAAGGGGCCGTTGGTTGGGAGTTTGTTTTTTTTCCCTCTTCCGATAATATAAAACACAACTGGCCACACACGGATAGCAGACATTTGTCAGAAAAAAAGTTTTGTTCACTCATTAAGATTAACCAATACAAGCACTTAACGTTTCTTCAACACACACAAACCACAAGGTGAACAGTCACTGAATGTCAGCAGCATGTTGTCGAGAGATTTTCCAAACACACGTGCAGATATTTATATTTAGCCGAGAATTTTAAAAGCTGCAGGGCAGCCGTAGAAATTTACCAAAGAAAAGAGAAAAAGAAAAAAAAGACAAAAGATGTTATTGAAGCAAAATCAGAGGGTGGAAATAGCTTCATCCCTGCACGCACTTCAGAGCGTGGGGAGCCCAAGACGTGGGCCAAGGTCAACTAAAACAAATAAACGGGGGGGAAAAAAGTACTCTCTTGTGTCCTCTTGTTTTTTTTTCTGTTTTAAGTTCACCTAAAAACAAGTGAGGTCGTCTTTCACAGGTTCACTTCTGGCGATCCTGAAAGAGAGTGGGAAAAAAGTGGAGAAACGATTAGACGCTGTAAACGGTACAGACTCAATTATTAGGAAAACGTCATTTTGGAGGCGCTTTCCAGGGATGAGGCGAGCCTCATCTAAGGCCTGGGAAAGCTAGCGGGGCGGGCTTTACCTGATCCATTCGGGACCGGCTTTGTATTGCGGCAGGTTCGTAGCTCTGTCAGAGAAACACAAAAAACCATGAGAGGCTGAAGGCAAACTGACCCCAACATCACTCTCTCTTTACGCTCCAACTTGGAGATGGGGGGAAAAAAGAGAAGAAAACAAATATATATAAGGAGGGCAGTTCTTCTTTGACACCCTCATAATCATCTTAAATCATCTGCTTTTTCCTAACTTAATTCTGAAAAAAAAGAAAAGTACACTCTGGAGGAAACCCCACCTTTTTCACCACCTCCTCTTCCTCCTGCTTCTTCTCGTAGTGGGAGAAGTCGTCGAAGATGGAGGTGGTGTGCTTGTACTGGGCGATGATCTTGAGCACCTGCTTGGCCTTCTCCAGGGGAACCTCCTGGGTGTCGCGCGAGTTGGTCACCGGCTTGTTGTCGTTGTTCTCCAGCCGGATGTGGCGCAGCTGGCTGTTGGGCACGTCCTTGACGAACAGCCAGTTCACGTCGAACTTGCCCTTCCACTTGTCCTGCGCCCACACGCCGGCGCTGGTGCTGTAGTCCACGGGCGAGCGCATCTCCGCCACGCCGCAGAAGTGCCCGCTGCCGTTGACGCTGAACAGCAGGTAGACGGGGCCCTTGGCGTTCATGGCCCTGTAGGCGGAGTCCAGGCGCTTGTTGCCGTGCTCCGTGCTGCACCAGATGGAGTACTTGATGGAGCGGTGGATGTCGTCCTCCGAGTAGCTCTTGATGATGAACACGCGCCCGTTCTTCAGGCTCCAGTCGAACTCCTTGGGGTTGTAGCTGTGGGCGGCGCGCAGCTTCTCCAGCACGGGGTGGGAGTCCGGGCCCAGCTCCAGGGGCACGCCCCCCCCCCCCCCCCCCCCCCCCCCGCCGTTGCCCATCCCCCCCCCCCCGCTGGAGGAGCTGCTGCTGTCCAGGCTGCCGCCGCCGTAGCAGAGGTTGCGACTGCGGGGCGCCACCCATCGGTTCTGAGGCGTGGGGGCCGAGCTGTGGTTCTGGTAAGGCTGCGGGGGGGGCAGGGGGGGCGCCTGCATGGTCATCTGCTGCACCAGGGACTGGGCGGACTGCAGGGACTGCTGCAGGGGGGGGATGAGGCTGGGCACGTGGGAGTGCAGCGGAGGCGGGTGCTGCTGGTGGTGGTGGTGGTGGCTCATGGGGGGGGCCATCTTAGCGCCGGCCCCCTTATTGTCCCACGTGTCGATGTCCATGTTGTGTTTAATGGGAGGGGGGGGCAGAGCGCCCCCCATCATGGGGGCGCCGGGTTTGTTCTTGGCCTTCTGCTGCTGCAGCTTGGCGGGTTTACTGGCGATGGCGGCCCACGACGTGGGCTTCTGAGGGGGCATCCCCACCGATGTGCCACCGTTGCCGGTGGCAACAGCCGTCGCGATGCTGCCGCCGCCGCCTATCACGGAGCCGGCGCTCTTCACACCTGAGCCGCTTCCTGTCACGTCCCCGCCTATCTTAAGGCCCAGCATGCCCTGCTCCAGGCTGTTCATGCCCGGGGCTTTGCTCAGGGTGTCACTGTGGAAGCCCGTCTGCCCATCAGGGACCAGCGTGCCCCCCAGAGAGCTGGGCGGGTAGCTGTAGCTGCCCCCGTAGGCCGAGTTCTGAGTCTGCTGACCCTGAGAACCACTGGTGCCCCAGGCAGAGAAGGCCGGGTTCTCTGGGAAAAAGTTAAACCTGTGGGGGTAAATGCTGCTGCTGAGCCCACCGGGCTGCCCAAACACGGTGTCGGGCATGAAGTGATGGTCTCCATTACTGAGCGGGGCATAGGGCGTCAGGTAGGGAATCGGTGGGTCCCCGCCTGTGGACCAGGGGGCCTCGTTGAGAGGGTAAGGAAATCCAATCGAGGGGGCATAGTAGCTGGATAAGTAGGGGTCTGTCATGGACTGATAGCTGTTATTCTGCAAACAGAAACAGTTTCCCCGAGTTCAAATGCAACAAATTACAGAAATGTGTCATAAGAGAGTTCAAACAAGTAAATAAGTGTATGGATAACTCCCGTTTTCTTACCTGGCTAGATTGGCCGGTGAGATAGGGCTCAAAGTCATTATCATGCACCGTGTCCTTCTGGTGGAGGGAGCCGTTCTGCACTGAAACTGGAAAGGCTGCAATAAAATCAAACCAGTTGAGACGCCGTATGCCTCAATGTGCACATGCCTTTGACCAGTTAAATAAAGCTAAGCTTATCGTCAGGTCTAAAACATCTCTCATGGTGTGTCCAAAATGATGCGTTTACCAAACAGCAGCCTAGTGTGCGCCCTCATCATCGCCCACACAGCTGGACTAAAGATACAGATCTAGAAGCCCAAAGGAGCAAGTTTTATCTAGCATCAAAAATATTCAGCGTATACATATCAAGGCTTGGCATTTTTAAAGCATGCAAGATCTTTTGTTTTGTTTGAAAGGCTGTTTGCCCTGACACTTGTGTGTGCAAAGTTTGGGTGAAACTCTATTAAAAATGCAAGACCGCCATCATTTCACAGTTATTTTCATGTCAGACTTTTAACATATACATACATGGCAGTGTCACGAATGGCAAATACGAGACATCAGGTGGCCGTTTGGAGCTGTCGACTACAGGAAGTTAGGCAGGTTTACGCGTGCAGCATGTTTGACTGCAGGAACTTTGGAGGAGGAACACTCGGCTTTCATTCCTTACCTTTGCTGGCATCTTGTCCTTTCGATGTCTTCACAGGTGACATTGGGAGGAGAAAAACAGAGAAAAACTTGTTTGGGTCACGCCTGCTATTCACAGCATCAGTCGCTGCTCATTTCTATGCAAACATTCCCCCCCCTGAAAATCTCACAGACACACACACACACACACACACACACACACACACACACACCACAGCCTGCAGGGCTGCACGGTGGGTATTTTTACCACACAGATAGCCACTGAAGCCGTTTGCCCAGGCCTTGCTCATTTCCCAGCAGATCATTTTCCCCCGGCTAACCCTCTCCTCTCCCTGGGCTAACTAGCTCACTGCCAGAGGTGGCATGCATCGTCCCCATAGTGGGATGCATTCACACAGCTCGTTTCACTTACCCGTTAGGGGCTAAAACCTGACGCCGAGAGACCTCCCCCCCTCCCTCCCTCCCTCCCACCACCACCACCACCACCACCACCCCCCTCCCCATCGCTGCTTACCTGAGGGTCAATACTAGCGGTAGACATCATTCATCCACCAGGTGTTGTGTTAGACGGGAGACCCCAACACGACGTGCAGTGTGTGAGCTACAACCGCAACCGCTACACGGAGAGGCTAACAGCCGGGGAGACTGTCTGTGTTCTGCTAACAATTAAAGACAGTTAGCAGCTGCTGCTAGCCGCCGTCTCCGCTCGGCTTGCTCGTCGCGGCCCTGTTGGCTCCCTGCGCTGCCCTGTCCACATGAATCCAGCGGGGCCCCAAAGCGCTCCGAACCCTTTCGGTGCTATATTAAAAGCCAGCAAGTCTTGTTAACCCTGCTCTCCCTTGCCCCCAAAGGCAGCTTCATCCGGGGCCCGAGGAGCGGAAATGACGTCAGTGACGTATAGAATGCGTCCACGGCTGCCTAGCAGCAGCAACTCGTTGTTTACATTATATTTCATACATTATGGACATAAGCACCCCTTCGTAGATGAAAAAAAAATTCACAAAAAAATGTCCTGGAGAATCACCGAGAAGATACTGAAAGGGTAATGTTGGTAAAACCACGTATTTACCTTTTATTCTTTTATGTCCAATTATATTTAACATTTTCTTGCATTCATATGTTTTTTCAAATTTGCTCTGACATCTCTGATTTCCTTTATTGATTAACTAATTTCCTTTCTTTTTTAAATATTTATGTTTTATCCCTGTATCCGTTTATCATTTTAGTGCCTTTTCCACCTTGCCAAAACATGTTTCAATGTCCTCTGATTAAAGTTGAAAATGTATGTTCTGATTAAATCCTTGATAGTTACTTTTGAGTGCGTGCAAATGTGTTTTACTTACCTATTCAAGTAATCATGATTTCTGCCTCGTTTTCACATTACCCTCTGCTTTTCTGCTTAAATAGGCAATAGAAGCACACACTGTTAACCGTCTTTATATTTTAACCTTTTTTTAAATACATATTTAAAAATATTTCAGTAAAGAGATGAGAAGTGACACGGCTTCTCTGCAAAGTGAAAAATCCCAAATATATCCAGGTAAATAGACAGAGCACAAATCAGTTGTTTAGGTTTTAACAATATATAACAGTCATAACAATATGATTGTATACATTTGATATTTGACAACAGGAGAGTGTGTTTTTGGAAACATTCTGCAGCCCTATATGAAAATAAATTTCCAAAAGAAACATATGACATAGAGTACTTTATTCCGCTTGATGATACCGCATTATGAAATAACACATACCAACATTAAAATAATAAAGAAATAACATATACTAGGCATTGATACTCATTATACATCTAAAAGCCCACTTCTCTGTCTGAAAGCATGACTTTAGTGTCTGATACACATCTTTCACGCACATACACGCAAGTAATTGAACACAAATAGGACTCTCAGACAAACAAAAATAAAAGGAGCCCTGTGACATCACTGGAAATTCCCCTTGTGGATCAAAATGAATAGCTGGGGTTCAGCATTTGGATGTGTTGGTTTCGCAACCAACCAGAGCTGATTAGTTGTTCCTTGTTTGTGTCCATCTGAGTTGGATCCTCTGCTCCCTTTCAGCTTTTTTCTTTGTGTTTACTTATAATCTAAAGAACAAAACAAACACAAAAAACATGTATAAGCGATGAAAACAGGCAAGATGGATGCAAACAGGAGGGGGTATTTCTGATGTCACATACCTTTCATGATTACTCTAGATGAGAAACTGAAAAGGTTTGGATGGATGATGAAATTCACCAAAGATATCAACTAAAAAAAAAGGCGAATAAACTTAAGTTTGAAAATGATTGTCATGTAAACAAGGCTCTAAAAATGTCAAACGTAACAAAATGGCAAAGTGAATTATATAACAAATCAGATTTGTCTTATTAATGATATCTGTGGACATAATTTGTTGGGAGCATACTTACAGCTCTCTTCTTCATCTGAAAATCTGATGATGACGTAGCAGGCGTAAACTAATCCCAGAAGCTGTGAGAACGAATACAAAAACAACCAGAACAGAGAATCACGAGTGGCTAAGGTGAGCATCTTCATGTAACACTTCAAAAGGACCATCCCACAAACACGTGTGACCATAAGGGAGCTGCACTTCTCCGTTGCTGCAGTAACATGTGCTCTCACAGATGTTACATGAAAAAAATGACTCATAATTTTACTTAACTGCAACAACCTTAGCAGTTCTTAAAATGAGTCTATTTATTTTTGACGCACACATAAAGCCTTTATGTTTTGCACTTTTCTTTCAAGAATATGACTAGTTGCCTTCATCCAAGCTTTTAGGATTCCATTTGAATGGTTGCAAATATGTTAATATGTGTCCTGCATTGGTTTTGCAGAGACAAATAAATCCTTTCAACTACATTTAGGTCCTGCAAAGGAGTGGCGACCATCGCAGGAAATACCCTGACTCTCAATAAGCTGAGATAAGCTCGAGCAACGCCTCTGAATAAAGCGGACACAGAAGATGAACAGATGGACGCAAAACAGCAATTACAGGTATGATTGAAAAGCCCGGAGACACACATATTACAAGTAATGTGTTCCTACACTGCAGTCTCTAACTACTGAAGAAGACTTTTCAAATACTCAGACCCTGTTGCCAAGCAACAGACCATATCTGTGTGTGGAAGCATCTCCATTATTAAACAAAATTAAATAGAAACTAAACGAGTCTTTTAACTTGAGTTTAAAAGTCTAACAGAGTCAGCGCGTTTAGCGTGTTCATTTGTTTGTGAAGACTCACCGATAGCAGCAGCTGGACACTGCAGTGGAGGATTTCTATGTACTGGTATTCGAGCCAGCAGCTCAGCACGGTGCTCAGCTCTGGGTTTTGCTGGTTGTGCCACACAGCCGAGGGAAGACTGCCGCTCTGGCATCCCGGCCCGTTGTCCTTCCACCAGGAGCGGTGTGAGGACACCCCCAGGGTCAGGACATCACTGTCCTGCAGGGACAAACGCAGTGCAGGAAGGTCTCAGAGCCATAAACATATCACCAGGAGTACGAGAGGAACTGTGTGTGTGTGTGTGGAGGTGGTGGTTTAATGTGAAAGTTTGCTTCTGTTTGAGGCCACAGACAACTGTAATTTCTGAGATCTGATAAACCCTGAGGCAGTGGCTTCTGTTGGTTTCTATTTACCTCCTTTTAGCTGTCATCAGACAGCAGAATTATCTGCATTTCGAGAGAAGGAATGAAATGCACTGCTAAACAAATCTGTCTTATCTCAAACAGGCATCTATCAAGGTAGAATATCCCAACTGGCTTACTACACAATGAAATGCAGCTGATTTCAGTTCGTTTCTGCTGATTCTGCGCCTCCCTCTCCCCTTGTGAACCAATGTGGTGACACAATACAAACTATTCCTGTTACACAGAAGATTTCCAGAAATGACAGTGTATACACAGAATTAACCTATATAAATGTTTAAATTGGTAAATGGAGAGTGCATTTGCATTGTGGCATGGATTTTCCTTCAAATCCTCATTGTATATTTAAAAATATATCTTTGGCCACAATGTTGATCAAAAGTAGTCACAAAATAATAGAATTTAATATGGATCAGTATTCTCTTTCTTCTGGTGGGAATTATCCTGAAATCAAAAAGCAGGAATGACACTGGTGTACAGATGAATAGTTTTTAACGTGCAGCTTTATATTATGATTTTTAAAAAATGTACTGTGATGACCAGAGACTAAATGCAGACAATTCTGAAAAATTCCAAAGAGATGTAAACTCTAAAGGCGTTTTCTGAGTCCTTATTTGTTGGCGGGTCCTGAGATGAGCTTGTGAGACTGTGTTTAGGGGCGGTGGCTGTAATTATCCGACACCTATGTGACCGTAACACTTACCTTTGAAAGCCCTGCCAAATCCAAGTAGAGACAGCTGACAAAGACATTCCAGCCAATCCACAACACCGTCCACAGCAGGTACTGAAAGGACCAAAAACACAACTCTAAAGTGCAAATAAAGGAGCTTTCAGTTCTGAACCACTTCCTGAACCACTTTCACAACTATGTACTAAATATAGATGAATATAGATGTTCCCAGTGTTTAATATTTTATTGAACGGCAACATGAAGGATTCACAAGCTAAAAGTTTTTTTTTTGTTCAGTTTTTCTGTTTTGGTTGAGGGAATTATTATACCTTCACCTTCTAATCTCAAGGGGCCATTTTCTGTGGCCTAAAAGTGTGTATTCACAGGTGGCACAGCCTTCTAAAAAGATTAAAAAAATAAATAGTATTTCCCAAAATACAAAAAAAGGGTTGTATTTCCAGTCCCAAATAAGGACATGTTTAAAGGTCATTACTGTGGCTGTTTCTGTGGTGGTAAAGTGACAGTCTAAGAGCCCCAAATTCCCATTCAACAGTTAAAAAACATCTTTGGATTAAATACCTACCCTGACATTGACACTATGCCCCTCAGTGGGTGTCTTAATTTGTATGGATTAAGTGATCTGCAAAAATATTATGATGTGATGATCTGGCACATAAATCTGTATGCAACATATTACCAATATTTTCTTTTTTGTAATTAGGAAGTTCTCAAATATAACAAATTAGGAAAATAATGTAAAAAAGTTTTTAGTTCTTCAAACATTTAGGGGAAATTCCACTACTGCAGCACATTCTGGAAATGTGCTGTAAGTCTCAGTTTTATTCATGTGAATTGGAATGAGAGGCTGACATTGTGTCTTTGATTATGAGCAAGGCAAAAGTGCAGATTTCCAAACAAGCAACTCAAGAAACAGTTCCAAATGTGGCCATAAATGTGAGAAAAACTATTTCTAACTCAGCTGCTTACCAGAATAACATATTGAGATCTGTATTGTATGGCGCCAAACAGGCCCAGGATGACCATAATGATGTGAAAGAAGTTGATCATGATGGGAGCCCACTGGTAGCCCAGGAAGTCAAACACCTGCCTCTCCACAGCTGTTATCTGGAGCACCAACAGGAGCAGAGGCACAGTTTAGAGATGGTGGCTGAAGTATAACACTTTATCAAACCAGTTGCTGCTGTGTGTTGTCTGGACTTGTTACAACACCATCATCTTTGCTTCTTTGTGTGAGAGGGTTGTCAAGGCAACTCAGCCACAGGGGACGAAGCATGCTTGGGTTATTGCTTCGTGCCCACTTAGGTTAGACATGAAGGGGGCAGGGTGGGAAACAGAGATGAGAGGGACAAAGTGGGAGCAGCCCTTCATTGTCATGGCTGATATCTGTGGGCTGCCACTGCTTTCATTATCTGACGAAGAAGCCTCTAACATGAACCTTCATGAAGGCCACAGGTTGAGAAAAGCACCACTGATTAACTTGTTAATAATCCACTAAATAAATAGTAACCAAATAACATAACGATATTCTAAAAGATAAACTAAAAGAAGCTAACTTTACCGTTAAAGGCCAAGAAAAGAGTATTTGTACTTCACTGATAGACAGCCTACTGTTTTCCAATTGTTGCTAAAAAGCTGCAGTTGGTTAAATGTATCACTGCTGAAATAGTTGTTGAGTTATCTCACAACTATAACATTGTGAGATAAGCATGTGAGTATAACCAAGAAGAACATGTTTAACAGATTCAGTAGTCTTTTATCCATAAACTGACTTTTGGGGAAATGTGGAGGTTTTACATAGTAAGAGGTGCATATAAATGGTAACCTTCAACTGCAACAACAAAAAATACTTTTTTCTGACAAAGCTGGATAATTCAATTTAATCTGATTAAGTCTTTATTTTTCATCTGCTAATTGATTTGGCTGATTGCTGGTGTTGAGAGTTGGTTGATTAATAACGGCGGTTGTTGTGATGTGCAAGTAGATGGGTTTATATCAGAGCATCATAAAGAAAAACATCTTACCAACTGGGCACAACACAGAAGGATCAGCACGCATCGTCCTGAGCAGCATCCCATCTTCCTCTCCTCTGTGTGGTCTGATGATGATGATTAGGGGAAATAAGGAGCTTTCTTGCCTGTTTCCCCCCCCTCAAATACGAGGGCAGAGCGTTTGCAGCTTTGGATCCATGGCCAGCGGAGAGTGCACTTTATCTCAGGAGCAAAACACAGTGGGCTGTCCCCACTGGAGAACTACAGAGAAGGGGGAGGGGAGACTGCTGTATGAGGGGTGATCCATGCCATAGTGCCATAGTGGGGGAACTCCAGCGCACAAGATATGCCTCAAGGGATGATGGGAGTCCTTTTCCTATTTCCACTGCAGTCCATCACATCAGGGACGCCTCAACCTTTCCTTAAAAAGTCCTGGTCCCCGGAAGAGTCACGACTGGAGGACCCTGACACACGGAATAGTATGATGTATTTAGACAACAATCAAAAAGTTGAAAGCACTGAGACAGCAAGAATTAAAACTCAACAATACCAAAGAAAAGAAAAAAGAGAACCCTGTATCAAAGCTAAGTTATCTTTAGCCAGAGTTACACAGGCTTGGCCCATAACCCAGGGGCATCCAAACCCCTATCTCACAGGTTTGAGATGTTAAGCTCTGCGCTAGTTTGCTAAGTGATGTTAGGCAGGCATGGCAAAGCAAGGAAAGACAAAAAACCTCTAAGACATCAGCTTTGAGGGACTGTATTTGTTCTGATTGCCTTGTTCTGATTGCTTTAAATCTCTAATTCTGTACGGTTTTTCACTGGGTTAGAAAAGAGAGTTGGTTTACAAGTCCTCGTGCCAGTCCGTGTGATGTAAATTCCTTCATTTGAATATGTCGGTGAGGCATCGTGTTGACGCCTCTGTGGATGGAAGACTGAAAACACGGGAAAGGTATGACTGAGGACTCTAACTTCAGTCGTCATGGTGAAAGTAACAGACTTCAGTGTCTCTTTAAAGTATCTAAAAAATAACATTTTAATCTTCAAGCAACCTTTCTCGTTACTTGGCTGTAAGGAGACCTTTTTCACAGGACGTGGCATTTTCTGAGGGGTCTTGTACTGCCTTTTCTTACACTGCATGTTGTATTTTCCATAGCAGGACATCCATCCAGTGTCTCTCTGACTGGGGCATGGATTGACTCTCATACAGCAACACCGTCCTCTGCAGCCTGATAGGTGGCTGTTCTCTTCAGTGCTGCGACCACTCCAGCAGGTGGTGGTAGTGGCAGAGATAAAGCTTCAATAGGTGAGTGGCAAGGTTATAAAACACAATAGGCCAAAGAGAAAGCCACCACAGGGCTCATTTCTGAATGATCGGGCAGGTAAAAAAAAAAAGTTGTGGGGTGTCTGTTTTCTCTCAGTTGTACCAAATTCCTCTAAGACAGAAAAGGCAAACATAGGAATCACATTTGTGGCTCATAGAACAACTTCCTGTGAAGCATAATTCATATATACATTCATATGACTAAAATAAAATCATCAAAGAAAATTGTTACCCACAACTAAATGTTTGACATGTATTAATTTACTTTGTTGTTTCTTGCAGATTTTACTTCAGTGTCAGTAATAAATAAAAAATTAAATTCTAACAGTTTTTTGTAATTTTGCAGAACGCCATGGCTCTGAATTGTATATATTTTTAAGCATTCAAAATATTCCACCTGAAAAAAAGCCAAACATTTAGATCCGCCTTCCACAGTCCAGTGGGGGGATGTTGTAGCAGAACGAGTGACCCTTTTAATCTGGAATCCATTCATTAGACTCCCACTCGCACTTCCCCGTCCCTCCGGAGGATGACGCTAGAATCCAAAAGACAGATTTATAATTGGGGGGGTCTCCTGCTCTGTCTGTGTCACATGGAAGCACAGTAGCTGAGCCGAGGGGATGCGCGCGGAGATGGAGGGGGCTTGACGGTACCGCGGAGCAGAGATCTGGCACTGGGAGAGCGCACCGGAGGCAGGGCTGCAGCAGCGGGATCCGGGCAGCAGACAGCCAGGTTAAACACATCCCAGCCCCCCCCCCCACCCCCCCCCCCCCCCAACCCCCATCCCCCCCCCTGCCCACCCCCCCACCACCCCACCACCACTGGCTGGGGCGCTGGACGGGGCGCACGAGAGGGTCAGCGGGCGCGCGGAGGATGATGCCACGAGCAGAATGCTGCATTCTGGTTTTGGGAAGCCCACGAAAGCCACGGTAGCGCCTTTGGTCGATTATGGTCGCGGGGAGCGGCCGGTCCGAGGGACAGCAGAACCTGCAGGAAGCGGCCGGGGCTGAGGCTGCGCGACCCCCCCCCCAAAAACCCCAGAGCTGAGTGAGTACGGGATGCAATAGCGCAGTGCTCTGGGTGACAGGCTGGAGGGAGGCAGGAGAGGGGAGGGGAGGGGAGGTGTGTGTGTGTGTGTGTGTGTGTGTTGGGGGTGGGGGGGGGGTCATTATATGTGCCTATAGATCCAGTTCGATAAGGACACGCAGCGTCTTTTATTCCAACAGAAATACTGGAGCCGGTCCCTGTTTTTCTTTGTTGCTCGCCCTGCCTTCTCCGCATTTGCTCAGGTCATGCTTTTAACACACACACACGTGCGCGCCCACCTCAGATTTTCCTGCGTCGCTTTCATTTATTTATTTTTTCTTTCCATTTCTTCCCCTTTTTATTTCCCTCTGCGATTTTATGCTCCGAATGAGCGGATTCCTCCTAGAACTTTATCGTGTTGCGTCCAGGGGTGAGGAGCATGGGATCAGAGGTTTTACAGCCACTGTGGAACATAAAGATCATTAACGTTAGACCTTCCTATGAAATGTACAGACACACACACACACACACACACACACACACATATAGCCTACACGCACCTCCTCTCCCTCCCCCTCCGTTACTCATAAACGGGGACGGGGTTCTCGGGGTGGAGGTGGTGGTGGGGGGGGGCTTTGTCGTGTAAGTTGCCACCTGACCTCGGGGACACAGCATCCTCAGATATCTTCACTTTGATCTGGAAATGAATCGGAAACGCTTTGATGATTAGAGGAGAATTAAAGGGAGGAAGAAATGGAGAAAAAAAACCCTCTCCACTACAGGCTCAGTGAACCCCATCACCACCATAAAAGCACAACTGCATCAGCATGGATCCCCCCCCCCCCCCCCCCCCCTTCTCTCTCATTTTCTGTCACCGCCTATAGCCTCCACCAGCAGAGGCATTTTAAAACCGATCACACGAGCTGGCCGTTCTCGCCCTGCGTGGCTTCATGTTCCTGATCCCAGTCCTGCTTTCTAACCTGTTGTCAGCAGACCGCTGCAGTTTGAGGTGTCAGAGCCCAGAGGTGCGGCCAGCCGCCCCCCCCCCCCCCAGTCTGATTTATGGCTCCTGAGCGGGTGCCATGATGAGCCACATACACAGAACCTCCCCAGATACACACACTTACACACACACACACACACATCCATCCTTGTGACTGATCTATCTTTAAGCAAAAACGGGGAAAGAGCAGAGTGTGGAGACATTTAGCTGATGATGATCCCTGCCTC